CCACCCCACCCCCTCCCAAACGACTGGTGCCCTTAGGAGAAAATAGATTGCAGATTGCTTTCTAGCCTCTCAGGCTCTCAACCCTTGTTTGCAAACGGGCTGGAAATTGCCGACAATAATTCTGTTTTATTCTGGGGAAACGAGTCAAGAGTGTTAATTTTTGAACAGTTCTCCTCCCACCAAGGCTTTGATAGACATCTTTGTTTTAAAATACAAACAGCCCCCAACAAAACATGTTTTCAGGTATGTTTTCCTTTTGTTAGAAATTGCCAACTTTTCAGGGTTTTGTTACTGGATTGCAGTTGAAATGAAGCTTTTTATTTTTAAAGCTGCAAAATAGAGTTCTCTTTTTTTAACCTTTATTTTCCTTTAAATGTATGTCTCTTTTATACACTTAATGTGTTGTGAGTAGTGGCTCGGTTGTAGTTTGTACTTGGATAGTTTCTTTTGGAGATTCTTGCCACAATAGCCTGTTTTCCTGTGTTTAGGAACCAACTGGAGAGCCATCTCCTAAAAGACCAAGAGGAAGACCTAAAGGAAGCAAAAACAAGAGTCCCTCTAAAGCAGCTCAGAAGGTGAGATTAGAGAGAGTCTCTACCATTGCCATCTGTTCAGTGGTTAGAGTCCAAATAATTTAATATATTTAGCCCAGAACGGTAGTGCAGTTTTAGGAAGGGAAGCCACCTATTGCCTGTATTTTACCTTTTCAGATCAGAGCTGATATTTGCTGAAGGAAAATCCTATTTCACAGAACATATACAGGGCATTTTACTTTTTGAATAACCTATAAACTAGTGATGTGACTTGGCACATTTGATATATTTATTGACCTCTTTGCTGTCTGCAGCAAATCTCAACCTTTTGAATTTTAGTTAGAATTTTTTTTAGTTTGGGATTTTAAAAGGAAAAGAAAAAAAGGTTAATTTCTTGCTCATTTACACCACTGCTTGAAACCAAAGCTGTATACTAAAACTAAGTGTTTTGTCAAACATGGTAATTAGAAGCCATTCCAATTATGTGTAGATTTTTTTAAATGTACTGCTTTGAAAAAAGATGGTAAACTGTGAGTTATAGTGAAGGTTTGATGCATATTGCTTGGTAATCAGCTTCAAAGTGACTTTTGCTTGAAGGGATATTAGTCTTTTGTGCTATTAGCATTATCTGGTGTGGGTAGCTCCTGCATACTGTGGTGGTTCTGAATATGTTTAGCAAAGGTAGGGTTCAGCGAAGAGAGAGTTCAGTGAAGTCAATCTCTTCTCCCATTAATTCATAGACCTTAAACAATAAATTTAATCTGAAAATCTGCCTTAATTTTATTTAAATTAGCAAATGTGTAGTATAGAATAATGGTGACAAAAGGAATGATATAGATGAAGAGTTTTTGGTGAACATGAATCTAGTGTTGGGAATAAATACAGGGGTCATGTTTATGGACACGGTTATACTGCAGTTAGCCCTCATTTGCAGGTACAAAGTTGAAAACAAAAGCTTACAAAATCTGGGAGGGAACTGTGGTGCTTAAATGTATCAGTTCCTTTTGCTTTGGAAGGGTTAGGTGGCAAAGTGTGTGTTGGAATATGGTTGGGTGTTTTTTTAATTTTGGTTTTTTTGTCAGTGTGCCTATGGGTACTGACCATGTTAGGTTTGATAGTTTTCAGTATTAAAAATTACCGTGCTAGCTAGTGATAAATATTAATTTATTAGGGGTTGACTGTAGGTTCAGTTTCCATTTTATTTGAACTGTTTTGAGTGTTTCTTTATGGAACATATGCTACTATGCTTAATATACCATTGTTACTGCCTGGACTGTAACAAAACAAAACAAAACAAAACAAAACAAAACAAAACAAAACAAAGCATTTATTCTGTCAAAAGATCCTTAAGCTGGTAAATATACTTTTCAGTTAGATATTTAAAATGGATAAACATAATTTGTGTTGCAACCTATTTAGCTATGTAGATTTTTTTCTTTAGATAGTTAACGTATATTTCAGATTCATTATTGAATGGTTTATATTTAGCTCAAAAGAGATGGGACAAACTTTTACTATTTTGGAAAATCCAAATTTTGATGATTACTATCAGAAGAGTAAATTTTGCTTTGTGTCATGTTGCTATTTGTAATATTACAAGAGCAAATTTTAAAAATGGTAAAAATATGTTTTTAAAAGATGGTCCTACTAGAAATACTGAAATCTCTTAATTAATCTGTAGGGATTAAAATCAACATAAATTAGAAAGGGCTTCCTTACTATAGAAATGGTATGCAATGCAGTTCAGTTATGTTTCAGATCATTTTGGTGCCTGTTGCTACTCTTTAGTGTGGATTGAGACCTGAACAAGTTCATTGCGTCTTTTTGATTTTCAGAGTTGGCTAAGTAACTCTGTAACTATGACAAACTCCTACAGGATGTTGTTTATAATAAAATTTGACCAGCGTGCAATTGTCTTATTTATCATTAAAAACATCCTAGGTGTTTTCCCCAAAAAATGTAAGTCTGATTTTTGTTTTTAGCTTTTTTGATAACAGGAATATTAAATGTATCCCAAATGCAAAGTATTTATTCAATCTTCCAAAGTGTAAAACAGTTATACAGCTTTTTTAAAGGGTGGGGGTAGGAGGAAAGCAAAACATTTTGGCATCATATTTCAAATAACTATTTTTCTGCCTTTTTTCAAAATAGATCTTTAAACCTTCCTTCAAATGTTGTAACTTCACATTTGAATTCTTCAGGTTTTATTTTATACAATTTCTTTTTGATAATTTTTTGCTAGTAAAAATGATTTGATAAGTTTACATTTAAAATGAAGATTCAATTGTATCTGTAAGTATCATTTTAAAATAATGAGTTTCATTTGTAACTTTCTGATGACACATCTATGTCTGTAGCTATATATCTGTATCTGTAAATGTAAGGGTTTCGCTACCCTCTCAACTCTCAAAGCAGTGCTTGTTAACTTTGGCTAAGACCCTATGCATGTGAACTTGGTTGCTATACATACAGCTGAAAATTGCTGGAATTTCTAAAGAATAGTGTGTGGCCTGTGTTTTTCAAAGTGAGCTCATTGAAATGTACTATAGTGTTCACAACATGTAAGATAAACGTACACCACTAGAACCCACAGAGCAGACATGAGAAGGCACTCATGATTAATTGATTGGGTGTTCTCTTGCAAACCATTACACATCACAATTAAAAATGTATTACACAAACTGGCAGGGAGCTAAAAATACTCAGACAAGTACTGGGGCTTTGTTTTATTATACTTTAAAAAAGTAAATACCTTTAAATCAGTTGAGGCACAATTTGCCCTGAGATTTTGATTGTGTTGTGTATTTAAAATTCCTTGGTGCGTGGTGGGTGTTTTGGGGGTGTTTTTGTTTTATTTTACTTTCAGAGCTTGTGTTTGGCCTTAGTAAACTGGCCTTGGGGCATTTGAAAACAAACTGTGCTTGTTAGGAAATTAGCAGTGTGAAACTTGACAATATATGCAGAATGTTGCAAGACCAATTGGACAGCTAACAATGTAGCAATTACCTTAATTTCAGGTAATACACACATAAAACCTGATTTACATATAATGCATATCTGATTTATTTTCTAATGAATACAAAAGGTAAGCCTACCTTCTACCAAACAGAAGGGAAAAATCCCAAAGCAGTCGCTCAGTGGGTTTAATATTCTACAAAGAGTGAATACAAATAACGTGTTCAGAGATGACAAGTAGGAGACAGCCACAAAAGGACTCTAATTACCTTGCACTTGAGTGCTCTATTATTAAGGACTGTGTTTCTGAACAAGACTTGCTGTTACTGATTAAAATCATTTGTGAAAAAAATAGTAAAATAAGTAAAGATCTTCTGTTTCTAAGAAATAACTGTTTTACTTTGAAAAAAAAGGTCAAAATATTGACATCCCACTGTTCATGTCTTGGGTGCTCTAGAGTTAACGTTTATTTTTTAGGTAGAGCACTATTACTATCACATCTCCATTTTTTCTTAAGGATTCAGGACTTTTCTTTGTGTAGGTCCTGTAGTTGTGCTTGATAGAAATACTGGCATGAAGTTTACCTCATTCAGAACGAAGAAACTCTTATGGTGTAAGCACAATAGTAGTAGAGACTATGGGCCACAAGTGAAAACATCAGATATGCAACCTGTAGATTTAGAAAAGTAAAAGTTCTAGGAAATTCACATTCAGTTGAGTTTTAAATCTACTTGAAGCTGTAACAGACAGAGTAATTTGTTTTTAATAGAATGAAATTAAATAACTAAAAAAACCAGTTGAGTTCAGAAAAGTGTACTTTACAAAACAGGATTTATAGTACTGTATATTTCTAAACTTTCTGTTATTTCCATTTTGTATGGCCACGGTTTGCCTTGCAGAGGGCCATGTGTCATGTAATTAAATTGTCTAAGGGTGAAATCCTGGCCCTGTAAAAGTCAGTGGAAGTGTTGCCCTTGATATCAGTGGAGCCAGAATTTTATTCTAAACTGTACTTGGAAAATCCAGTTGAGTTTTCCATGCTTCACTTCTTAAAACTGGGACCGTCCATAAGAAGCTTAAAGGGAAACGGTATCTGATGCGCAAGTGGTGACTGCATCTGACAGAAAGATATCACAGAACAAGATGTTTTGAGTAATATGTGGGAAGGCAGGAGAAGAAGGCAAAACCCAGTTTAGAGTTAAACTAGGTCAACATGATGACATGGATTCTATCTGTTCAGTTCCTAGGTGTCTTTCAATTTTTTGTAACAAACTGACTTTCAACAAAAGGGCCCCTTCACTGTGCAAGTTCTTTTGACTAGGTTTGACAACAGTGATCTGTGTTCGGAAAGCTATCAGTTACTCCAGCTGACCTATACCTCTGACACATTTTATCTTGACGTCTCAACAGATCATTTTGCAAGTCAGCTAGAATGTACAAAGTTTGGATTCTGTTGCATCTGGGTTCCTGCTTGACAATAGGTGGATGCCTGAAGAACACTTTATATCCATTAAATTATTCACACCCATCTTGTCTTGTTAATTGCCTTCAACACTACAATTTCAGTTTCTGCTCGGCAGTGCACACCCTTGCATCAAGGAGGTGGTGATAGTGGACAGTCAGGTTCTACCTTTGCTGAACCCATGGCATCCTTTGTTAGTGAAGCAAAGGGCAGGTAGCCTTATACTGCCAAATCTTAGATGATTTTCAAATCTGTCCACTGCCTATTAACTCTCTTTAGTCCAACTAGCCTTGGAACACCAGTTGTACAGACTAAATCCAACTGGTGATCGCGTGAAAAACACCATTTCTCAGAGGCATCTCTTGTGGTCAAAAAGTTGCTTAAACTACTTCTATTCCTAAAATTTATCACGGAAAAAGATACTTTTCATGTTGTTCATAAAAGTTTTAATATTTTGGAAAACACCATTAAACTGGTTGTCTGATACCTTTCCCAGCCCTCCTATTTTACAGGTGGTGTTACATGTGTCATGTTAGGGAGAGCGAAGTCAGGCCTTATCATGTTGTGTCACATGATGAGCTATATAACCTACCTTAATGTATCTTACTTTTAAGCACAGCATCAGAAGATTCAAGCCACAGTTACCTTCGGCAAAGCAGGTATGAACTGTAGTGGGTAGTTGAGACTGCTTGCCTAAATAACACTCTCAGTTATTTTTGGGTGACTTGGCTTTGGTTTGTCTGTCACTCTAGACACAACATTTTAATGAAAGCAAACAGCTATTAGGACAGATGGATTTTGTTGCTGTGAATATCTGTTCAAGAGGCAAAGCAGTGCTCTTGGGTTGGTGTGCCTGTCCTTCTGTTAAGGAAATTAAAACTGCTTGGAAAAACATGAAATTATTTGACCGTCCCTTCAGGTATTTAAATCAAACAACCACATTTAGCTTCCAGGGTGAATGTGTGCTATGTTTACGAAACGAGTGGCAAAAAAAAAAAAAAAAAATCCAGCTGAAAAATAAAATGGGACTGCTTCTTAGAGTTCTTTATCATCTACTTTTGAGCATTATTATTCCTTCTTGCTTGTTCAAGAAGTGTTTTGTCTGTGGCCCTTCTTAGAAGAGAGATAAAATTTCCATTCTGGAAATCCTTGTCATTCATCTTCTGCAGTTTAGTCTATGGAAACGTTCCTATTTACTTACAGCACCTCTCTGTACCAAAACATAATAACTGGAATGCATTGCTGTTGCCCAGATAACCTCTGGGAGAGATTTGATTTTGATAAGAGCCATGGAAATGTTTTTCTTCTAACATAAGGTGGAAATCATATACACCAGTAATGTAGTGCCTTTGAACCCAAAGGATCCCAAAGTACTTTACAAACTGATAGACAAATGATACATTGCTGGGAACACTATCCACTTCTGTAATGTAGCCACCTCTGGGGTGAAATAGCATTGTTAATGGTAAACAGCTTCACTGCATGACAGTTTATAAGAGGAAGTTAAGATTACCTATTCAAAGAAATCTTCAGGTTATCCTTCTAATCAAGCTTCTTTACATAGTCTAGTTAAGCTTATTATTTTTGTCTTTTCTTAGTTTGTTAAATTACAATAAAGTTTATTTGCAATAGTTTTCAAAATGGTCCGTGTTGGTTTTTATAGACACTAACAGAATGGTCTTTAATTTAGTCCTATAAAACTTAAAAATTGTATGTGCAGGGGGGTGTTTATTTAAGAACATTTAAAACAGATCTTTTCTTTAATATGTATGCTTCTGATTAGTTCAATAATAAACATAAGCACAGGGTATAACAGACATTTTAAGCTAAAGATCACTTTAGTTGCATCATCCAAAGTTATAGGGACATAAAAACAAAGGTTGTGAAAGGAAACAAAACCTCTGAAATAGACAGCTACAGAATACAGCAAATGTACTTTAACATGTATTCTCATAAGAGGGTTTCACCTTACAAGTAACACTGGTATAAGTTATTAAAGAGTAAGTTTACTCTTTTAACAAGTCTGAGTGATAATTTTGCCCTTTAGGAGTGTGAATTTTATTTTTCACAGGTTTTTTCTTGGTGAGATTTATTTCAAAGTCATTCCACTGTACTTATAGTGCAAGGTTTGTAGAGATTGGCCTCAGCTCAGATTCTCTTTAGAGGGATTCACTTTACATGGCATGGCATTACAGTGCTTGTTACAGAGATTTGCCAATAAAGGATTTATATAATGAGACAATTGACTCCTGAGGGAAAATCAAACACACACACACACCATGAAGAAGCAGGGTTTTGGAAACTTATAATGCAGCAGGTATAAAACAAGTCTTCGTTCAAAGGGAATGTCATTGCACACAAGGTAAAATCCTGTCTCTACTGCAGTAAAGTCAAAACTCCCATTGACTTTAGCAGGGCCAGAATTAATCCTTTGTCTATGTACATGGCTACTGTTGTGATTAATTAGATACAGATATGAGCACAGTGATAGCGTCTGCTAATACATAATAATCCTTGAGATATACTCTTCTATCCAAAGATCACAAAGTGATTCACAAAGATAAATGTATCCCAAGCTCACCAAGCAAATTAATGGTGGAGTTTCTGGTACAACTCAGGTTTCCTTTATTTAATCCTGTGGTATCCACCACTGTACTTAAGTATGAGTTGTTATTTTGAGGATACCTCCTGTTCATTTTGCTTCAACTCTGGAAAATGAAGGCATGTTTTGGAATGATGAAAGATTTACTCAGAATTTAAAAGTTATGTTTGCATATTGAAGCTGAGATGCTTTTGTCAAGTATATGGGCAAAGAACATCATCATTAGACTATAGATAAAAATGGCAGAATAAATAGTCAGTTCTTAAAATCTGTTTCCTTCCTCTTGAAAGACTGTATGCTTTAACGCTATGCCAGAGGGAATTTTAGTGCTATGAAATGTTAGAAACAGGAAAGTAGGCATATTCACCCATAAGAAAGGTAGAGAGAGACAGAGACTTGGTGCCATCTGTCAAATCAGCAGATATATCTTAAAGGGTAATATTACAGGAAATATGTTCTCAGTTACCAGGACTACTAAATAATGTCGGAAGATAAAATACGTTGTTTTTTCACTTTACAGAAAGCAGAAGCCACTGGAGAAAAACGACCCAGAGGCCGGCCCAGAAAATGGGTAAATATTTCATTTCCAGTTATATAATCTATTTTTTCTTTACACAACAAGTTTTAAAATCACTTCTTTAAAAAAGCATTTAATTTGGAAAAAGAATTTCTATCTTCCATTTCTTTCTATTCTAGTAGATCAATGAAAGGGTTAAGGTAGCAGAAAAGTTATCACAACTTCCTACCTTTAGACTCTGATAGTTTGCTCAAGGCACTTTACTACTAAATGTTTGCTGGGAGTGAATACTTATGTGCGTCTCTTATCAGCATGAAAAGAGCCTCAACTCTTCCTTCAAAAAAGGGTAACAATGAGATAACTTGTTCAGTAATTGAGTAACAAAGGTTAAAGGGGGTATTATCAGGCTTCAGAAGGTGATTATGGAAGATGATAAAATTCAAATGCAGCATGTACAAGATAAAGTTAAAAAACCTTCTTTATCTCATTAATGTTCCTCTCTTCCTGGGAAACGGAGTACATTTCTCCTCAAATCCTTAAAAAGAACAAATATATACTGTAGGAAACTTGCATTTGATGTTTTGCTGTTTTGTTTTTCCTGTCTGGGCCATCTTTATGTCTCATAGACTAGGTGATGTGGAATATTTAAATTTAAAGTTTTGGTCTGGTCCCCCTGTCCTCCCCCTACTTTCTGTTGATTTCCTAGATGTTGATCTTGAAGCAAATGCATTTTTGGAACATACATACCCTTGCTTCTCTGGAGACTAGAGATCCAGTGTTCTTGAGGATTTAAGTTGATGAGAAACCTCCCTCTGCTCTTTCCCTTTCTATTTCTTTCCCTGATGTGCACACTCCCAAAAGGAAAGCAAGGAGAACGGCATGTGAAAACCAACAGCAGGTGTTTAATGGAAGAAACTGAGGGTGCAGCCATATGCTCTATAACAAATTACTCTTCTAGTTTTCTTTCCTCAGTTACCTTTTACTTTCCCCATTTCTGGTCAACTTTTTTTCTGTACCTTTTTCCTACCTTATCTCTCTTCATCCCCGTCTTCATTCCTTCATTATGTTCCTTCCTCCCTATCTTCATTTGGATGCTGTCATTTTTTCCCTCTTTAGTTCATCTTATTTCTTTCCATTGTGCATTAAGACTGTTGTCAAGGCATCCATACTTCCTAGAGCTAAAACAGCACCACAGGAAGCTTACAACTATGACTCAGGTTCTCCAAGGTGTCAGCAGCTAAGTACAAGAGGAGAGCAATGACTTTACCATACACCTTAAAAATAGTCCTGTATTGTCATCCAGTGATAAAAGGACCCCAGGATGTTCCTGCAATTTTGTGGAGCAAATTTAGACAGTCATATACAGTGTGTATTGTTTATGGCTACAGTGTTTAGAGTAGGTAGACTATCAGTACACAAAGAAACCAAATGACTTTAGGAAATTAGATGATTTGTACAAAATTACATAATTTGGTAATATTCTCCAAAAGTGGATTACAGGAAGCAAATAATAAATAGCTCAGCAGTGCCATTATATTAGTTAATGTCAGCTCACTTGTAAGATTTTCCAGGATTTACTAGGCTTGACTATGTATTTGTGAATATATTGTTTATTACAACAAAGCCACCTACATTTGCATTTCATGATGTGGTAGCTGCATGAAGTTGTTAATTCTGTGGGAATGGAAGGAGTCACCATTTGAATTGTAGTTAGAAATTAAGAGGCATCTTCTCTGAAGAGGAAAAAAGGTGATATATTGTTTTATAGTATGATGACCAGGTAGCAGTAGTGCAGAATTAAGTTCAGTAGAATCCTTCAGTTGAAGAGTTTGAACTGCATAAATTATTGACTATCTTACAGAATATCAAGTCACTTTCTTCCAGCAAATGGTGCTCATTTCTTTGAGAGTAAGGTTTATTTTCAAACACAGCAATATTTTCTTGTTGCAAATATCGCAAGCAGATGTCTTTACACACACAGTCCCATGCTATATGATTGTTTTTTGTGAATTTTAGACAAAATGTACAAGTTTGCACCCAACAGTGATACAATGCTATAGATTCTGGAAAACACAAGTGCCATTTTCTCTTTTCTGCTTTGCTCTTTTACGATTTGAGTTAGGCTTATGGGCTTTGCATGTGGTGAAATGGAGAGTTATATTGCATTTTATCCATGAAAAAATATTGTTAAGTGAGCCATTATCATGCCAACAATTTTTAGTCAGTGAGGGATTCTGCCTGAAAACAGATGGCAACATGTAGCTCACTGTGTTTTAAAATCTAGCTTCTGTTCAGAAAACTCCTCCTCTTATCACATGAATTTCATGTACGTTTTTAAAATACATTAGTGGTTATTTTCTTTCTTAATCCAATACATTTATATTAGGTATTACTTTAAACAGTTGTGTATCAATTAAAAGAAGGAATGTATAGATTTCCTTTTTCTTTGGGAGGGGTTGGAATTGTATACGGTAGATATTTTTCTAAGTTTGTAACTCTTTTTTGTGAGTCTAGAGGTTGTGTCATATATTGTTCATCAAATTGTAAAGTATTATTTCTGCTGTTTCCTTCAATATGCACTTGTAGAGACATACTAGCTAACAGACCTCTGTAGAATTCCGGTAGCCAGTCTTTCTGCCTGTTCAAATTAAGTATTTAACGTTTGTGACTCTCAATTTTTTTCAGAAGAGGGACTAAATCTTTTTGACTAGTATAAAACTGGGGGGAGGGCGGGGGGATAAAGTAAGCAGAGTAGAGAGTAGATACCTTTTTTACCAGAAGTTATCTTTTTAGTAAAGAAATATGTAGTTTGAGAAACAGTCCAAGATGAGATCCTTGCAAGCCAATCTAACAATGAAGAACAAAAGACTGTTTTGGAAATACATATTGAGCTATAAAGAAAAGCCACTTGAATGTAAAGACATTTGAAGAAGAACATTTAAGATAACAGGGATGACCCAGATAGAATAATACGTTTGGGTTTAGAATTTAATTTCAATTGCAAGAGACCTCATCTGTGAGCACAAGTTTTTTTGTGAACACAGTTGCTCATCCATGAGCGCGCTGAGGATTTTTGGTGAGAGGAGAATTCTGTTGTAATAATTAAAAACAGCTCTTTATGAGCTTGTTGCCCTTTTAATTTTAGAGATCTCGGTACAGGAATCTGACTTAGGTTCTCCAATGCAAATGGGACCTGCGGAGGAAGCAGCCTGGCTCTTTTTGTTACAATACCATAGGAATGCATGACAGTGTCCAGAGATGACAAGGGCATGAAGTGCTCCATTGCGGTTGGTGGGAGTTTTGCCATAACAGGTCCCCATTGCCCTGCCCCAAAGATCTTGCATTCTAGGTTTTTTCTCTTTTTGCATTTGTGTAAGCCCAGTAATGAGTGGGAAATGATGGGGTGAGGGTTGGAGCAGGAGACTGAATAAGCAATTATAATTCAGTTTATTCCAAGGGATCGTTTTGAAAACTTCTGGAAATTTAACTGACTTCTAGTGCTCTCAAGCGTCAGTTTAATGGAGAAACCTGACACCGGTTTCTGAAGTTGATGCTTTAAAAGGCTATATAGATTTTTTTTTATTTCCATTATTTTTGTTATGTCTCCAGATAGTTTTTTGGCATTGTCCAATTCACCTCCGCATTGTTTAAACTGAAACCCAGCTTCAGCATATGGCATTACAGCATCACATAAAATAACAAGGAATATCCAGAAACTTGACATGCGAATGTTATAAATCTGTAAAGGGTTTTATGATGATGGGAAAAATGACTGACATAATGGAATGAAAACTGTCTGGTAATGGAATGTGTACAGAAGGGATGAAATTCTAACAATAACATGCTTATAACAACAGAATAGAGTAGTTCATTTCCAAGAGCATATAAAGCATGCACTCATACACATACATCCACTAGAAAATAAAAGAGAGAAATGTGAGTTGTTCAGATAACCTGACTTTCTCTCTTTCATGAGTCTTTTTTTCCCCATACCAGATGCATTAAATAGTGCATTTTGGATTCGTAGGAAGTAAAACAAACACATACACAAAAGAAAACATGGTTTCTCAATGCACAAGTTACAGATGATTTGACCATTCTAAAGGTTGAGGGTGTACTTCTTCTCCCTTGAAGTCAATGGAAGTTTTGCCATTTGCTTCATTGGGTCAGGATTTCAATTTATGCTGGCAAATCAGCTTAACTGCCTTTAAAATAAAGGAAAGGAAACTACTGTTCGATAACTTTTGCTTCCAATTATTTTACAGTGCCATTTGAAAGGACTGATCTATGAATTTGGAGGTTTATCAATAGTATTTAATAATTTATATTACTGTAGTATTCAGGGGCCTGTATCAGAATTGGGGCCCCACTGTTCTAGAACCTGTAGAAATAAGTATGAAGACAAAATTGTAGCTCCAGGGAGGATGGAATCACTAGATCCACCATTAATTTATCAGGGCTCCTTCATTGCTGTAATTATGGTCTTTCTCAACCCATAATGTAAGAGACCTTTCTGTCTCCATCTGAAAATGTAGCATATTGTGATGTGAAGATGTGAATTTTCTTATTTCTAACTCAGTGATTTGTTTTAAATAAGGAAGATTCTATCAGTATCCCCTTAAATTGAACTATAGAGGTTCAGTTTTTAAGAATAAATATTGGAGTTAGGATAGGTTACTTGACTGGCAGTGTTTGGGACATAATGTGATTGTTGTAAAATGTGGAGAACTGACATGCAAAGGCTGGTATGCTTCAACATGCACATTGAGATGGTGTATTAAAAAGAAGGTTATTTATGTAACTGAAAATAGCATAGCTTAATTTTTATTAAATATTTTAGATGTGCATTCAGTTATGCACACTTGGGAAGCATAATGCTTTTTGAATAATGCTATTTAATATTCTTTCAACTTTTAATGGTACTGGTTGTTTCCTTACTATCTTGCTTAGAGCAAATCAGAAGGAGTTCTGCTGTTGTTCCATCTTTTATACTACCTTAATTTCTTATTTTTTTAAAGTGATTGAGATTCTGAGTTACCTATGATATAATGTAA